TATATATATATATGTATATACACAGATACATATGTGTATATATATATACATTGCATAATATACATGTATGTACACACACACATATATGCATCTATATTATACTACATTACAGTAGCATTATCATCTTACATATTATATCATATCATATGATATATGTATGTGTGTGTCTGCCGTGTACACAATATCAAATATATGTATATATATATATACATACACAGATATATATATATATACATACTACACGTGCGTACATACCGTTAGGTATACATTTTCGCATGCACAGACATATAAGTGTGTTGTATGAATTTATCCAGATGTGTATGCGAACACCGCTCATATTAATCAATGTGTTGTAGGTATATACATGTACTTACATAGACACATAGTTCTATTTTGCTCTTATATGCAATATACTCTTCAGTTACATCGTATTACGTTGCAGTATGTGATGTTCTGCTACATTATGTTTATTAAGATGTATTTTTGTTTTATCATACCATATCTTGCTCTATCATATTACGTTCTATCACCAGATGCCATAGCATACCATATCATATCACATCCTGTCATAGTGTCGCATAGTAGACCTTGCAATATAATTGCATGACGCCATGTACTAATATTGTAACATGTGTTCAGACTGGAGCACTCAAACCTCACAGAACGCAAGGAAGCACGAAGCACTCGAGCGAAGGAGCTCGGTGCTCTTATAGGACGCAGCGCACACCGGGGAGCCAGCCGCAAGATTTCGCAATATGACTTCTCCGCGGCCCAAATGTAGTACACTACTTTGTAACCCAGCCATAGTACTTCGTAGTAACCTGGTTACTTTCTACTTCAAACCCTTATGCTACCTACTTATTCAAGCTTCGCATGTTCCAATAAAGTGTAGGACAAACTTGCACGTGTCACAGGGGTTCCGTCGACCAGATGCGCGTGGAAGTGCTCCAAGTCTCGCTGCCCCTGCTGGCGCCCGGGATGCATGTAAGAATCATACACCATAAGCCCAAAGCCGTTCAGCCAGTACCCGAAAACACTTATCCCTGGTAGGAACGAATACCGAAACCAGAGGAGTGCCTGGCGATCCGACGAGAAGCCTACATCGAGCTGGCCACGAGGAGGGAGGGTTTTCAAGGATTAGCTGGGGTTTAACTTAAGAGCCGCGGAGTGTTAAAAGCCTGCGATTTCATAAGGTGTCAAAAAATTGTTACCTTGGGATACAATTTTTTGTTTATGGTTTCGGGAGTTTGGAGGTAGTGCATGGTTGGGCGTGGGTTGCATTTAGATTCAGTCCAGTATCTTAAGCTTTTGGGGTTTAGGTTTGGGATCGTTGAGCTTTCTCCTTTTCTGGTTGAGTCTATTGCATTTTATTGCACCCTGGCACCCTACTTTCTGCCCCGCCTTGTCAAGGAAGCAGAAGGAGTCTTACTTTCAGAAGAAGCGGAACCTTGGCTGCGCCCCATGCTCCCCGCAAAGATACTGCAGGGCACGAGCAGGGCACGACTTCAAGCGCTGGGACAGCGTTCGACATTTTATAGTTCAGAGGCTCGCAGTACTGATTTCAGGTGAGCTAGCACACTGCGGAAATATGAAGAAGCTCCGTGAGCAAGCTTTTTGGGGGTCAAGCATCCCGCGCCAAATATTGCCCGATATCTTCACTCCGACCCTCAACAAATCACTCCATTCCGTCGAGGCGTGTATCAGCATTCGACAGCTTGTTTGAAACGACAGCCACCATCTCCTGGACATCCAACCAAAGCCCGAGACAAAAAAAAATCCTTAACCTGACTCAGACCAGGAAGCCTAAAGACCCGAAATAAGACACCTCGTCCACAAACCGCAATTGTGAATGATATTTCAAAGGCTTGTAAGGCGGCATCAGCCGTAGAAAGGAGGCCCAGAGGCCGCAGCTAAGGCCCCTGGAACTGTAGATATGGGGACACGGAACACCCCTTCTCTCGCTAGTCATATTTCGACGAGTATGGACAACAGAGCTCGGCTCGTCTTTGGGGGTCTTCTGAGACATCATGCGGGCCTTGGAGTGTGAATCTCAGACCAATCTTCGTATTGCCACACACCCGCACGCAAGGTTCTTCACAAAGCTGTTGCAAGTAGGAGCTCTGCTGCTGGAGCATGGTCTCATATCACGATCAAACACGAAATCTTCGGTCATAAAGAACCAAAGCTTGCTGGCACTACGGGATTGTGAAGTGTTCGCAAGTTAGATGCAATGGAGAGGTCATCAACAAGAGCTGTTGATCTGGGACAGCATAATTGAGACAGACATGGTGAGATCTTCGAGCACGTTGCAGTGTGGGTCATGTGACTCTACGCTTCGGAGAATGTTTTGTAAATGTATGTTGACGGTTTCATTATTAATGCGGGTGTCCTGAGAGGTTCTCAATTTATTCGCAACAGCGCAGTTCAGACCTATTCAAGCATCCTAGACCCAGACTTGGCCAGATTGCAGTCAATTGCAATAACTGGAAACCGGTGTCTCAAAGCTGTGGCGCTTAACTCTTCTCTCAGGTGCTGCCGGCGACGGAGTGCGGACGATCCAACGGAAGCTTTGGGTGAGGCAGCGGGACTGAGGGCGGTTCGCGGCGTCAGGCCACGTTCTATCCCATCAGGGACACGGCCTCGAGTCCAGCGTCCAACACGCCCACGGGGTTCTGCATGGGCCCTAGCCGGGGTATTAAACCAACACTAGTTGTTTCCGCCAGCGCAGGCCGGCTCTGAACAACCTTCTAAACAGCTGTCGGAGATCTCGGCGGCGACTACGACTGCGACGACGACGACGACGACGACCGCGACTACTACTACTACTACTACTAACTACTGGTACTTCTACTTCTATCACTAAT